TAGGCCACTGCCAGTGTGCCAACAGACGGTACCTGCAGGGAGGGGTGGAGGGGGGTGTTACTGATGTCTTGATGGAAAATCACCAACAGAGAGGGATGGAGGCTGGGGGTCTGCATAGACGCAGTCTGTTGACTTTGTGTGCAACTCTTCAGCAGGAATCCAAATTTTCCTTTTTATTTCAAGCATTTTCTTATAAGTGAATGTGAAATTTGAGCTGCAGGTAAAACTCACTTATCAGTTCAATTCAGTTTTCACTGCTGGGTGTTTCCCAGGTGCGATGGGTTAAATGCAGAGAACTAATTTTGCCATTGTATGGGAACATACAATGATGACAACACATAGCACTTACTATTTATTTATATAGCGCCAAGTCACAACAGAAGTCGTCTCAGGACACTGAACAGAAACATTCAAATATTAAAATAATAAGTTAACATTATTTATCTGAGGAGCAGACTGCTTTGAATTTAACTTCATTGCAGAACTCTCATCTTGAGCAAGCATGAAGGCGACAGTGGAAAGGAAAAACTCCTTCATGAGGAAGAAACCATTAGCAGAACCAGGCTCAGGACAAGAAGTCATCTGCGTCGACCGGCTGGGTTTGAGAGGAACAGGAAGGAGGAACAGATACACAATGGCAGGTCAAGAATCGCATGTTAAGATCGAAATAGTATCAAATGAAAACTTCAATTTTTACAAATCATTTAAGGAAATTAGGTCAATTTGTCCTCCAGTGGTCTAAGTTTAAGACAGCATAACAAGCCAACCCTAACTATAAGATTTATCAAAAGGAAAGTCTAAAGTCCAGTCTTAAAACTGGACAATGTGTCAGCCTCACGGACAGAAACTGGAAGTTGGTTCCACAAGAGAGGAGCCTGATAACTGAAAGATCTTTCTCCCATTCTGCTTTTGAAAACTCTAGGGACCACAAGTAAGCCTGAAATCTTAGAGCGAAGTACTCTGTTGGGAAAATATGGAACAATAAGATCTTGAATATAAGATGGAGCTAGGTTGTTGAGAGCTTTGTAGGTTAGAAGTAAGATTTTGAATTCAATTCTGGACTTGACAGGGAGCCAATGAAGAGAAGTTAAACTGGAGAGATATAATCTCTCCCACTAACTCCAGTTAAGACTCTGGCAGCAATTTGGATTAACTGAAGACTTTTTAAAGAAGTATTTGGACATCCAGATAATAAACCATTGCAATAGTCCAGTCTAGATGTGATAAATGCACGAACCAGTTTTATCAAAAAGGAAAACCCAGTCTTAAAACTGGACAATGTGTCAGCCCTACGGACAGAAACTGGAAGTTTGTTCCACAAGAGATTCATTCATTCATTCAACCTTTATTTGTACAGGTTGGTTCCCATTGAACCTCAAGGACTCATTTACAAGAGAGACCTGTTACAGACTGACAAAAGTAGATAAGGAAAAGAGAAACACGTGGGGAGGCAAAAATATAATAATAATAATTGTATCTTGTACTACATCCTGGCCGGAGCACAGTGTGAAAGTTGCAAAAAAAAGGCCTCGCACATAAACGGCAACATACTAACGACATCATAATACATTTGTGCATGAGGAGGCCAACAAAGGCAGTGAGTTGTCCCTGGACACTGCCAGAAAGTTCCATAGTCCTGATAAGAGATGGCACAGTGTTTATCAGCCGGCTCAGCTCTGATACAGATCCACAGATGTTCTCAGGTAGAGGAGGAGCGGAGCAGAGAGCAGAGCTTCTTGTTCACATAACCTCCAGGAGAAATTTGAGATTGTTGGCCCATTCACGGTCAAGTGGGGGAGCCAGATTCAGATAACATTTGTTTTGGGACAGGCCAACTCTGCTTGATTTTTTTTGTCAGCCTTCATAGTTCTGCTGGTACATCTCTGTGGCAACTCCAAACAGCCAAATTTCATGGTCACTCTGCTGGGCCGTGCTTGTAGCCTTCGCCAAGGTTGATTCTTTCATGCCAGCAAGTTCCAGGAGCCGCAAGTGGCCTGCGATTCTCAGAAATCACGTCCAGCTTATGGCTTGGCTCACAAAGCATCTGAGACTGAGTGCTCAAAGCCCAGCACATTCCTTCACACAAGGCAGGCAGCCTCACAATTGCCAGAACCACTGCTGACGTCTTCCGAATTTGTCGATATGCCCGATACCCGCTAACTCCAAAAAGCAGAAATCCTGTTATCATGAATCCAATTATGTACGCATCTTCTACATCCTCAACGGACAATACAGACACACACCATCTTCCACTGTCCCCAGGAATCCATAGTGTATCCAGCTGCGAGTGTCCCTTCAGGGCATGAGGGCTCTCCTTCGCCCTGTCTGCTCGTCGAGAAAATTTGATCAATTGCGTTAAGAGACCAGCTGACCAGATCCATAATTTACAGTTTGGAAGATATGTAAAGAGAAGCTCTGAAAAAGATTCACAGGACAAAAGAGCAGAAGCAGGAGGGAGGCAGGAGAGAGGAAAAGCGTCCGTCTTTGTTGAGAGCAAGCAGGAAGTGATAACTGATAACTAAAAGATCTTCCTCCCATTCCTCTAGGAACCACAAGGAAACCTGCAGTCTGAGAGCGAAGTTCTCTGTTAGGAAAATATGGAACAATAAGATCTTGAATATAATATGAAGCTAGGTTGTTGAGCTTTGTAATTCAACCAATTAGGCTTTTAGTCCAAAGTTTTCTGTATAAACTGACAACTTACATTTTCCTGAAAATGTTGTGCCCAAACACAGAACTTGTTCACGACACAAACATGTTTATTTTGATGATGGTGAAGTCAAGATTTGTTGTTTTATTTTCACTTTAACCAAAATGAGGATGAACGTTGTTACATCAAAGCAGTTCATCCAACAAAATCACATTTTGTTGTTATTGGTAAATTAATTTGGTTTGGATTATGGCTATGTTTGTGTTCAATATGCTTGATTAGATGAGGCGGCCATCTTGAGTCGAGTAATTATCAGTTGTAGATGGACATTCATCTTTTTTTTACGCTTTGCAGTTATTTTTTTCTGTTTGTTGTGTTTTGTTTCAGTGGTGGGTTTGGACATCCAGGATGAGATGGGCCGCCATGAGGTCGGTCACATCGACAACTCCATGAAGATTCCTCTGAATCAGGGCGGGGGTTGTCGCTTTGAGGGAGAATTCACCATCAACAAAGTAAAGCGTTGTCACCCTGTGGAGTGCAGGAAAACAAACTGCGTGTTCCGTGTATAAATCAATAACAGACTCTCAGGCTCTCGGGGGACGGATGCTTTTGGACTATTTTTGTTTTATATTTTTGTTGGATTTAAGTCAAACTTGAAGGAGACCCCCCTATGCTCCCTACTTCCTCCTTTAGTTTTAATTAAAATGTTTAAAAACAGAACGCTCTCTGGGATTCAGCTACATCTGTGTACAGTCCGAGACGCTGAAGCCATCTTTGCACCGTCTCCACTTCCTGTGCATCAGTCTTTCCATTACATGTCAGCCTATTAACCCAGCTGGTGGATATTTAACACTCCTGCGTGTGAAATGGTTGGAAAAAAGTAGGAAGCAGGGAACATTTAGTTTGCAGTTAGTATTACATTTAGATCTGGTTATTGGTTAACCAAGTGTATTTCAGGTGTGTGTGTGGTGAATTTACCAGCTCTCTCTCTCTCTTTGTTTTAATTGTTTTAGGTTCCCGGGAACTTTCATGTGTCAACACACAGCGCTACAGCGCAGCCCCAGAACCCTGACATGACTCACACCATCCACAAGCTGGCCTTTGGAGAGAAGTTACAAGTCAGGACACAGACGCAGAACAATTAAAGAAAATGTGATAGATGGTATCCAAACTGAAGATGATTTATTTTTTCTTTAGGTACAAAAAGTCCAAGGAGCTTTTAATGCTTTAGGAGGCGCAAACAGACTGTCGTCTAATCGTATGTATTCACACTGAGCATGCAACCACGTTAGCACATGCAAAGCTAAAGACTGAACTTTAATAATAATGAGAACGCAGCGACGTTTAAATCTAACACTGTTTTGTCTGCAGCTCTGGCCTCACATGACTACATCCTGAAGATCGTGCCCACCGTGTATGAAGACCTGTCAGGCAAACAGAGGTTCTCCTACCAGTACACAGTAGCCAACAAGGTTTCGTAACTTTGTTTTCTTGGCTTTAGGTCATATCTTTGAGTCTTTTGTTTGTTTTTCACTCTGCACTCAAGCAAAGTGTGACCATTCCAACGTACGGCCCGAGGGTTTACTGCTGCATTGATTTCGCCAACACCTGGACGTGAGATTTAACCCATAGTGGCTTAAAACGCCCTGAAAATGTCAACAAATCATAAACATGATTCCTAGAAGTGTGCTGACTAAAAACTGGACGTGTGGAGTGGCAACAGTGCAGTTCAGCCATGAAGCACGGAAATGAGGGCATGAGCAACATTTTCCCTAAACCGACTCCAAAACATAAATAACCACCCAGCTGAGACAGCCGAAGACTTTGTGTCAGTTTGTTTGATCTGTTCAAATGTGTTTTAATCTGGGTTTTGATTTATTGTTTTTGTGTATTAATAACTGCGTAATATCTCAAACACATCATAGCTTCCTTGTTTTTAGCTCAACTTCCTCTGTCTGGTGCTGCTTTATGGTAATGCTCTGTTCTCCTTTAGGAATATGTTGCTTACAGCCACACGGGCAGGATTATTCCAGCAATCTGGTTCAGATACGACCTCAGTCCAATCACGGTCAAATACACGGAGAGAAGGCAGCCATTCTATCGCTTCATCACAACGGTGAGTCCATCGCACATCCTCTGAGGGAAGGTCACTCCGTCTGCCACGATGTAGAGATTTAATGTTCACAAAGCATAACTGGCAAAATGTTCAAAGAAGAAAGCTCAATTTATACTAAGTTTGCTTCAGGCTTCTTTGAATACCTGATATTTATATTTTCTTTCCTACTTTTGTTGCAAGTTTTTTTCAGTGTACTTTCTATGCAGTTTTTGGCTCACTGCTGAACCTCGAGGTTCAGCCTCTAAAATGTTTTTTATCCTGTTCTCTGACTGACCGGTTGCCAATTAACCAAAATAGAAGCAAAATGCTCCTCCAACTGTTCCTTAGTTATACAGCTTACTTTTAGTCTTCACTGACCCTTTCTAAAACTCTTTTGTTTTTTTTTATACGTTACTGCCATCAAATACAAAATTACCTTCTTTTTCCCTTTAAAAAGTAACATTTATTTGTTTAAACATTTAATACTTGTGCTACGTTCCACAGTGAGTAAAATGAGTTTATAAAACTCGGTAATCTGTGCACTCTGTTAATATTTACATCTGGCAAAGCGTCCAACCGTTGTCAGAATGATGGATATACGTTTAAAGTTTAACACGTTTATCGCCAATTATTTTAGCTTTTTAGCCCTGTTAGCATCTGCCAGGTAGTTTATCCCTCGACTGAAATGTGTTGAAGTATTGTGATTGATTGCTCTGGCTTTGCTTAATGTTTTAAAACCCATCAAACACCAGTTGTTTTTTTTAAATGTGTTTATTTTAATTTCATGATTTACTCACAAAATGTTTGTTCAGTGAGGCGTCATTTTGGTGACGCTAACTCCACTGTGCTCAAGTTTCGTTAAGGTGCTAGCTTAGCTGTAAAATCAAGTTTAAGACCTTTTTTCCTACTTATGTCTTGATTGCTTCTTTAGGTGACTGTTAATCTAGATTATTCTTGTAAATACAAACACAACCAGATCTATAGTCTATTTTTTAATCAAAACATCGTTTTTTAACACCAATAGCAAACAAAGTTAGCATCTATGTAATGGTTTGTTGCGGAGCTACCAGGAATGTTTCAAATTAAAAGAGACTCTTGTTGAATTGATCAATTTTAGATCTTAAAAAACTCCAGGTTAATGAAACACTGCTTGCTCTGTGTGTCAGCAGCTCTGGGAAAACAGGCAACTGGGTGCTAACCTGTTAGCATCAACAGCTTTACAAATTAGCTAATTGTGTTTTTGTGTCATTTCACTGCAGCAAATAAAACATACACATTTAAATGTAAAGCAGAAGTCTTTTCATGTGATGGAAGTCCAAATGGACCCAAGTTGGCGCCAAATGTTAGCAGAGAATTGATCTTTTGTCTTGGCGGTGAAGAGAAGAGCACTCCTCTCCTCCTCAGCTCATCAGCTGAGTAATATTACCTCAGCCTGTCCACTCATTAGAAAGGTTTCCTGCTGATCTAAAAAATGTGCCCTGGGGTTAAATCAGCTGTCTTTTGTCTTGCTTTGGCTCAGCATGCAGCAGCTTTGAGACATGAGTGAACTTATTGTGCTTTTATTAGTCACTGCTAAAGATTGTGTGAGTCAAGAGCGTTCTGTTGTTTCCAGCTCATTCTCTGGTGTGAGCGTAATGCTCTATGATCGAATGTAATCATTTAGCCAAAGTATGGAAAATAAATAACAGCTTTTAGATTGTGACCCTGACAGGTTGATGTGTTTTTCTGTAGATTTGTGCCATCGTTGGAGGGACGTTCACCGTCGCAGGAATCATCGACTCCTGTATATTTACCGCCTCCGAGGCCTGGAAGAAGATCCAGATAGGAAAGATGTCATGAGGACCGCCTGCTGACCGGCTCACATCTTATTTATAAGCAAGGTTAGCTAGCCTGGTAGCTAAATCTGGTCCTGAATGAAACCAAACTTCTCTTTGAGATCAATGAGGAGCCTCCAGCACGTGATCTAACTACCAGGCTGCACGTCTCCTTTTACCCAAGATCCTCAGCAGCTCCATCTGCTCTGCTGACGCGTGGACGCCGACTATCGTATGTCTGCCTCCTCCATCATCAGTGTCAGGAGAGGAGAGGGACTCTTGTTACTGAGAGGATTGATTTTTAAAGAACTGCCTGCCAGGAACTCACCAGTCTTCAAGGCAAACTCCTTTTCGATGAAGCTCTTTATTTGTAGGATTTTAAGGGTTGTTAAGTTTGAGGCTCTCGCTTTATTTCACCTCATGTTCAATTATAGGAATACCTTTAATTTCTGGACAAACTATTGGGTGAAATCAGTGTTAGAATTAGAAAAAAAAAAAAGTTCTCAGTTCAAAAAGTGGACTTCAGTTTATTTTTACTCTTTTGTCTAAACTGACATTGAATGAAATGTTATTTGGGTTTATAAACCAAGGTATGAAGTATTTGTATCACTACAGTTTTTTTTTTTTAATCCTTTATTTCAGTTTTATCTCAAACGTTTAAAGTTTGTGCTGTTGGGTTTACCGTTTACTTTAATTTCATTGTTTTTCTGTGTATTAAAGTCTGTGTAGACTTCAAGATTTATTTTCAACCTGTCTGTGTTCATCTTTTTATACCAAAGACTTCCTCAGATCTATTAAATACCACAGTTTGGACTTTTCTGGTTTATTTGAGAGGTTAGCAGGGAGAGAATACAAATTATAGTTCCTTTAGATCTTTCGTTGCGCCTCACAGAAAGTAAAAATACAACGCTTTGGCCTGTACCTGTGCGTGTTTATTATTTATTTATTAACCTTTATTTAACCAGACAAATCCCACAGAGGTCACAGATCTTTTACAAGGGAGGTCTGTGCCTGAAGGCAGACTAACATGCATGTTTTTGGTCTGTGGGTGGAAACTGGAGTACCCGGAGAAAACCCACGCAAGCATAAGAACATGCAAACTCCATATAGAAAGACCCCAGATCCAACCGGGGATTGAATCCAGGACCTTCTTGCTGTGAGGCAACAGTGCTAACCACTGAGCCATCGTGCTGCGTGTGTTAGCTAAATATCTGATGAATCACTGGATGGATTTTACTGAAACTCATACTCATTTGATCTTCAACTGAAACCTTTAAAGTCGACCACATTCAAGATGGCTGCCGCAGCTATGCAAGCTTAGCAAAGACTAACATGGCTACAACAGACGATTTCAGTTATTTAAATCTTGGTGGGGTAGTAGCTGAGAGTCATCCTTAACACATACTCTGAGCACCAACACGTCTCACATCTCTGTTCAGGCTCCTCTATGATCACAATTTAAAACCTGTTCTTTATTTTATTTTAAAAGCTGTACGTCTTTAAATTTTCTCTTGACCTGCCCGTAACTCTGATCCTCTCGAGATAATTTAACCAACCTTCATGTGCATATGCATGCACTCAGTCAAGGTCACAAATCAAGGTCAGTCCAGGCCTTCGCTTTAGATACTGTATAATAGTTTGTCAGCAGGTGTATAATGTGCATGTGTGTACTCTAAGGGTACCGTAGCACTTTGTTGCGTACTTTGTTTTTTAAAAGCTGTTCGATTTTTACTTTTGGATTAAATGTAGGTTCTGACTCCTTCTCAGTTGAATTGGCACCGAAAATTGTTTGATTACGCTCCTTTCTGTGCGATGGTCAGGTTGTAAAACATCCTTACAGAGCACCGTATCATGCATTCATAGAAACTGAAAATAAAATTATGTGGCTGTAAAACCGTAGTCAGACTTTGAACCCAGTCTCTGCTCGGTTTCCCCCTCAGCTGGCAGCCCGAGCCGACGCTCCGCAGGCCGTCCTCTGATGTGAGCAGGCAGGACGGCTCGAAGCTGTCATCACGCTTCCATCCACCTCTGATAAGAGCTGCTCGGTGTGACTCACACCTCCTACATCCCTCTTGTTTACCTTCGTCACGTCGCTCCTTGTTAGCCATGGCGTGTCCTCTTCCATTTGACACGATGGATGTTGGGAAAATTAAATATATGCCTAAAATATTTACTTTAACATCACAGTAATCAGATATAAAAGAGGATAAACTCTTTATTTCGTCCTATGCGAGTCTTAACTTGTACAAATGGAGAACGACTACTCAATAAAAAGATAAAAAATATAAATGTATGTATAGAAAATACTTTAGGATCTTTTTCTGTCATACTGCTGCCACCCAGTGGCTCGTTAGAGGAACTTCAGTCTATTAGAGAAGAACACCGAGATGAGATGAAGCCAGCTTTCTCTGGACAAACCTACAGTAAATTAGCATAGTTTGCACTCCAGCCTGAAAGGAGCACACCTCTGCTCCTGGGTCGAGGGAGGCTACAGGTTGGAGGAGGCCACGCAGGAGGTGGTGGGTGGGGAGTAGAAGTCACAGAAGCCCTCCTCAGACAGGTGTCCGTACTCGTTGTTGTAGAAGGTCTGTCCCGACAGCTGGCTGAAGAAGTTGGGTCGGCGTCCGGAGCTGCTGGTTCTGGTGTTCTGACCCAGAGAGCAGGCGGGGGCCGTGAGGGGCTCCGTGCTGCTGGTGCTGCTCATACGACTGCAGGCCGGGAGACAAACGGACACTTTGAGTTAATGACACGGCAAACCCTTCAAAACAAGTTCATCAGTTTAAACAAGCGTTTCAATTCATATTTACATGAACAACTGAACATGACGAAACATCTGCAGATCTGGGACGATGACTTCTGCACAACCAAACACATTTAAACCATATGATTTAAAATGCGAGAGTTTGACCCATGACTGTTGCAACAAAACAGTCCTGAGCTTAAACAAAGATTCAGCTCTAGTTTGAAACAGTCTTAAAGGGATAGTTCAAAGCTTTTCTTTTACCTGTTGTGCATGACTCTTTGAAAACACTGTTACAATTTATACGATTTTTTAATAAGACAGCTGTTATTTTTAGACCTGAACATGGTGGACAATTTCACATTTCCCCATTTTTTCTTAGAATGTTATGCTTATGTTTGAATTAGCATATAGCAGCAGCAGCTAGCAATAGCACTTCCATAAAGCCTGCGGCACTAAGGTGCCTCCTCTTAAAGATCAAAAGGTTTTCTGGTGGGATCGGAGCGGTCGGGAGTTTATTCATCACATTCAGATCCTGGCAGCAAAACAACATTTTGTTTTCATCATCTCGTGGTTTAGCTGCTGAGCGTGGCATTCTGCTTGAGATTATCTGGAGTTGCACCAAACGACACGTTGGCACGAATCGCCGGCGAAATTTAAAGGTTTCAGTTTTCCCGAGGGAGACTCGTTCCAAAGTCGCAGGAGTTTTGAGCATCTCCAAACATTTCAGGTCTCTCTTGTGAATGAGTCCTCATGGGACTAATCTGTTTAAATAAAGGTTGAATGAATTTGTGCAACAATTTTTTTTTTCTTCTCAAAATGGTCATCGCAGGCGTCTAGATCTGGTCCCAGTTTAGTTTCTGTCATTTAGAGCGCCAAAGCTGAATTTTCTTGTCCGTTTGTATGAAAACTCCCATCAAATTTTCAGTCACTACAGTGAGATTCTGAATGGAAATTTCCTGTTTTTTTCCCCCTCATAAGTTTGTGATTCCAACTACTGTATTTCCACCATACACGTTGCACCGCCATATAAGTCGCATCAGTCCAAAAATATCTAATGAAGTGGAAAAAAACACAAATATGTCGCTTTACCGTATACGTCGCATCTATTATGCGTCACCATTGACAGCCTGGAAAAGTTGTCCGGTGTTGTGCCAAAAATCTATTTGCTGCCAAATGTTGGCTGCGGGAGCGTGCACGGGAGGACTTTAACAAGATTAACACTTAAGAACAATTAATTGTTTACTCAAAATTATATCAAAGGTGTGTCTCAGTTTAACTTTTCCTTAATAAATGCACTTTGATGGTCAAATCAGCTGCATTTCAAAAGCCGATTCCCAGAAGCGGGAGCGCGCAGAGGGACGAGTCGCTCTGCATTTCTTTGAAATTTAACAAGATAAACACCTAAAAACAATTGTTTGCTCAATATTATAATAAAGGTGTGTCTTAGTTGAACTTTTATTTAATAAATGCACTTCAGTGGTGAAATTAGCTGCATTTCACCTGGGCGGTGCAGTGAAATGAAGCTGTTTTGACGTTTGCTCCAGGCATGATCCTAACCTATTACATGACACAACGGCATGCCGTACACCTCAAGTGCCATCTAGTGGCTGAAAATGGTAGTGTTCAATATTTTCAATGTCAGAATGAATTAAAATGGTTGTATCTCAGCCAAAAATGCGTTTATAAATAAGGGAAAAAACATAAATAAGTCGCTACAGTGTATAAGTCACAGGGCATGCAAATTATGCAAAAAACCTGAGATTTGTACGCCGGAAAATACAGTACTCTCCCCAGAGAGAAACATAAATAAAAGATCTAATGTGTTTTTCAGAATAGTTTAAACACATTTGAACCTCTCGTCTAGTTTTTATATAATAGAATCTGTTTTCAAAGGTCCGTTGGGTGTAAAAGTGTCGGACTGTTTACTCCTATCTGCTGTTCGTTCTAGGAGGTTCAGTGAAATGTAATTCTCCAAACGGAGCTAAAAACAGGCTTTAAATGACTCATTCTCCTGTTTGCTTACTCGTGCAGACTGAGACTGCCGATAATTGAGTCCTTCGCAGATCTAGTTTGGGTACCCAGAAAAACACAGGGTGACTGTTGTGCAGTTTCCAAGCAGAGTAAGAATGTTTTTCTCACTCGGACTGAGGCGTGAGGATGCTATGGAAGCTAATGGAACTGAACGTGGCGTCTGTGCGTTTGTTTCAGTGAGTCACGCTCACGTTATGAGTCTCTAAATGTCAAATCACTGACATCCTCTCCTTCCTTCTCAGTCGGGAGGATCGGAACATTTATGTGACAAACCTTTTTAGGACGGCGGCGCCTCGGTGGTTGTGCTCGATTCTCTCGAATTCCTCGGAGGCCAGAACCATCCCGCTGTCCGTCTGGTTGTCCTGAGAGGAGACGCAGTTTGAGTCCATGTAAATGAAATGAGATGGAGCTGTTTGTGGTGGTTATCAGAAGAAAAGATTCACCAAAGTAAAATAAAAATATGATAAAACAATAAAAAGGCTTACCTGAGGAGGTTTTTGTGAATGGATCTCTAGTGGTAACTCGTCAAACGTCTTCACTCTGGGCTGGGATGTTTTGAAGGGTCCCGTGAACACACAGCCGGCAGAGGGCACGCAGTTATAATACCTGCTCAGGAGACGAGGAAGACGCTATCAGATGAAGAGCAGGAGAACAACGCAACAAAATCTGACCCGAGTCAATAAAATATTCATAAACTATGTATGAGTCAAGAACAAAAGAAGAACCTGATCAATATTTTATTATTTCATCAAGCCAAATGATATTTATTTTAATCTTCCACTGCTGAAGGGCAAAAGAGTGGCTTTGTGTGTTTAGCTAAATATCTTATGAACCAGTGGATGCATTTGAAAGAAAATCTCTGAAAATATTTATTGGATGAACATCTACCATTGATGAAATTGTAAGGTTAACCCTATTTCAGATGGCCGCCACAGCCAACTTACTTGTTAGAAAACAAGAAGATGGCTACAACTCAGTTTAACAAATGGTGCTGAGCTAAAATCTGGGGTGGTAGTCGCTGAGAGTTATTCTCTTCATTTACTCAGACAGATGTTAAAGTGTTGTGGGAGATTCAAACCAAATTTATAAAAAGCCACATTCATTTCTCAACATAAAATGTGTGTGTGTATATATATATATATATATATATATTTGTTTTC